TCAATTTTTTTTTAATTTTTTTGAACACCCCTACTCACTCCTAATGAATAGTACACAGGATGTTTGATTTTTTTTTTTTTTTATAGATGAAAGCTGCCTAAAAAAGTACAACATTTGTTTATACTTTAGTTGAAGTCATCTTCTTAAATCACGACATATTTTATTATTTTAATTTTTTTTATCCTATTTTTTCTCTATTTTTTTTAAAATATATTCTTTTAAAGATTTTGAATCGAGAATTATAATTAAATAGATATAATTGCATTACCAAAACTTAAAGTTAGAAAATATATTTAATAATCAATATTGAAATTTTAAAGTATTAACAACATAACATATTAAATTTAAAGATGTATAAGAATTATAGACATTCGCCAACATAAATTAAACAAACAGTAGAAATGAAAAGTTATAGATTATTTTTAACATATTAATTTTTTTGAAATGGACAATTGTTACAATTATGTCATTTAGTTTGACAATAAATATTGCTTGAAGTTATTTTGAAATGGTTGATCTATTTTATTATTTATTTGACATTTTGAATGTGTCTTGTCACATGATTAAATTGAACATAAATTTTGGTCTCAAATATGATAGTTTTCATTTCCATGGTGAAAAAATTCGTGTTGATTTGTAAATGTTTTCCAACTTATGTATGAAGTGAACAATTATGTCATAATCTAACTTACAATATGTCTATGATGCAATAACGCTTCCTCAATCCACACAAAGGGATGAGCAATTTTGAAAAACATCTCCTTTAGTCTTAGTGATCAACAGCTCAGCCTTATGGCCTACACAGCTCAGCCTTACGGCCTACAACAACTCAGCCTTACAACCTACACAACACATAACAGCATACATCTATATCTCAGCTTCACAACACACTACACATTTACAACTCACATCATTTGGAAAAATCAACATCAAACAACTCATGCGTCGTCACGCATTTCATCTAGATTTGGTCGCTTGTAAGCGGTATAGCTCGACCTGACCCCTATACCGTAGTCGCTTTGTACACGTGTGCCTCGACCTTGCCCACACATGGAACCAACTAAGTACTTAGAGGAGAACAACACAGTGATCACTCCAAGGGACAACTTCCCAGGGAGGGTTTTCAGCAAATTGGGCTCTAAGAGCACCACAGCTTCCTCAATCCACACAAAGGGATGAGCAATTTTGAAAAACATCTCCTTTAGTCTTAGTGATCAACAGCTCAGCCTTATGGCCTACACAGCTCAGCCTTACGGCCTACAACAACTCAGCCTTACAACCTACACAGCTCAGCCTTACGGCCTACAACAGCTCAACCTTACGGCCTACAATAGTTTATATTCACAACACAACTCAAAATCAACATTCAGCACAACACAACATAATAACATTAACAACTTAGACAACATAAAACTCAACTCGGCTCAACAACATTAATCAGCATAAGCATCATACGACACAACTCAACGTTACATCATTAACAGCATAAACAACATACAGTACAGCTCAACTTTTCATCATACGGCATTAACAACATTAATCAGCATAAACAACATTCGGCACGACTCAGCTTAACAGCAATAACAGCTCAAACAACATATTCAACACATAATATGACTCACCCATTACAACTCATCTATCATGCCAAATTACCCACCCAAACAACACCAATCAACCTAAGCACCTAAAACAACTTTCAACTTAACCAAATGACTAATTGTGAAATGACAACCTTCACATAAAACAGCGTATCAGGAGTTATACTACTACTACCATGCTCATCCTTATCTCATATGAAAGATAAGAAGATTTCCTACAACTCTCATGAAGACACCAAGTCCTAATTCCTTCATCTACCTTGTTAAAAATTCTAAAAACCGCAACAGCTATAACCAATGCTGCCAACTTGACTCCTCTTCACTAAAACAGCCATATTTGGAGTTCTAGACCTCCTTTTTGGGTGATTCTAGCGTCATTGGAAAGCTAACATCCAAGACTACAACTTTCATGAAGACTCAAAGACCAACATACTCACGCCCGACGTATTAAAATCACGCCCAGCGCAAACTCAACCCGAGACCTACAAAGGTCTCCGCGCCCGACACAATATCAGTAACAAAAACATAAGATTCACGTCTGATAATGCGCCCGGCGTGGTTCTCCCCACGCCCGGTGTGATTCACCCAGGGATTCCCCATTTCAAATCACGCCCGGCGCGAAGAACTACGCACAGCACAATTTCAAACAATAACCCTCACCACTTCGTAAATTTCACCCAAAACCTGCAAAATCAGCCAACTCAAATACATGCAATCCATCAAATGAACTACATTTACAGTTTTGACTCCCTCCTTGAGTATTCTGGGGTTTTTGAGCAGTGTTCTGCCCTAGAAATCTCTCTGGGAGTCGATCCGACGAAGTTCTGGAATTCCGAGCACTTAGCTTGGAGATTCGAACCTAGTCAAAGGGGAATCCTCTGGATTTCCATAGTTAAAAGTTTTTTAGGAAGGAGCGAGCGAGGTTGTAGAGCGAGGGAACGCCAAAAAGCTTCCCAGTTTTACTCAATATATAAAAGCACGCTTCAAGAGGTTTCTTCTTAAATCCTTCCTTTTACTGCTTTCTGTGTGCATATTTAAACTGTCATCATGTAGATAGTTAATTTATAATTGCTTAGAATAAATAGGGGTAATTTAGTAATTTTACACTGTTATTTTAGAAATAATCTGTCATAGGGAACCCGAAAGGGGCGCTGTGGGGTGCTAACACCTTCCCCACGCGTAACCGACTCCCTTACCCAACTCTGGTTGTAATGGCCAAAGTTGATTTATAAAATCAATTGCCTTATCCCTTTTTCCAATGTTTTGAGTAAAACATTGGTGGCGACTCCACGAACCTTCCTTTTGCGAAAACCACTAATCCATGGAGGGTCCCGCTTGGGATTAATATGGATTGGTGAATCATTTAATAAAATTGCTCGTTTGATGAGGTCTCAGTTTGAGAATAAGTCATTCTAGCAATCCACATTTTTCAAACAAATAAACGAGTCCAACCATCCTTCGCGAATGCCGACATCTCGTTTCGGGCCGGTGGCGACAACAACTAACACAACTCACAGCACAACTCATCATTTACAGCTCAACTCAGCTTCTCAATCCCAGCAGAACGGCCCATTCCAGTTTCAGAACGACTCGTTCTCAACTATGTTTTTAGGCAAATTTTTTATTCCGGAACGGCCCGTTTCACTTTTGAAACGGCCCGTTCCGGGCAACGAATTGGGCCCAAGGCCCAGTGAAAATTGGGCTGTTACAACATACCACTTCTTTAATTTTATAGTGAAGTCGATTGCATGTTAACCTACTTGAAATTTTGTCATTTGCATACAATTCAATACCACAATAATAAACAATTACATGTGTTGATTAGGCATGACATTCTAACTCGATCCTATGGGTACTTGCCTGAACACATCTCAATTTGAACGGGAAAATTTCGTGTTGATCGAATTTGGGTTCAGATTTTTCTCAATTGGTAAAATTGAGAATGGGATACGAGTGGGGCGGGGAAACTTGAATCCCATTAGAAGCGAGGATGAATACCTAGATTTTATCTCCAACAAGTTTCGAGGGCAGGGGCAAGGACAATTTAAATTTGGGGGGGAGGGAGCAGGGCTGGGGGCGGGAACATAAAACCCATCCCCGCCCCACCTCGTTGCCATGCCTAGTGTCGATCTTAAAAAAAAAAAGAAGATATATAAATGAAGTGCAAATGTGTAATAGGTTCAAAGTGGTCTTAAAATAGGAGAAAAAAGACTACAACATATTCAAAGAAGACTTTCATGAGATATCTTTTCACTATTTTTTTTAAATTTAAGAGCATATATTTTCTTAATTTTTATTTTCTTTACATTTTTAAAAAACAAGTTAAATTATATATCAAAAAAATTAAATTAAATTAAATTTTATAAAATATCTAATCGTTATTTAAAATATTTATGAAAAACAGTTTAAAATTTGGACTCAAAAAAGGATGAGAAAAAAATCAAATTAAATAACTTAATATGTTATTATTTAAGAACATGACTTTTTAAAATTAAAAAATATAAAAAGAAATTGTGATCTTACTTATAAACGACTTTCATTTAAAAAATAATAATAATAAATGTCAGAAGTGCCATTCACGACTTCAATTTTATCGTAAAAAATAAAATAAAAATTCATGTTTCATATTTCTAAACTTTTGTTGGAATAAAAAAATAATTAAAACCTCAAATATTTGTGATTTTATTTCACGATTTCAATTTTTCTCTAATAAAAAAATATAAATATTTTTTTAAAAAATATTTTTTTTTTATAAAAATAAGGATTGAATTTAAGTCTTCATATTTTTATTATTTAAATTTAAAAAATAATTACGAAAATGTGTTTTCAAAACATGACTTGCCTCTTATACCTCTGTCCATGAAACACATAATTTCTTTTTAACTTCTTTTTAAAACTTATTATTTGGAGGGTTTTTTTTTTTTTTTTTTTTTACCTCAGTTGTGTAATAAAGCTGGAAAGTACATAAACTATAGGCTTTATAATATAATTGAAAAATTCATGAAATTGTGTTTGACTTTTATTTTTCATAAACTCTTTTTTCTTAATTTATTTTTCTAGGTGAATTTAGCGTATTTCTCTAAATGAATTAAAGATTAATTTCTTGAGATACGTGAATTCATTTTAAGAGTTGATTTTTCCTAAAAAAATATTATTTCATATACAAACTTGAGTATAATCTTTTATCTAATTCTTTTAATACTTTATAAAGATAAATACATTCGATATGTTTATTATTAATAAGAAATCAACCTCAATTCATCCATTTTGAACCAAATTGAAGCTTGGTAAACGGCCCAAACCCAGTCGTATGAATTAACAGATGCTGGGCTAAAGAAAACAATTGGGCCCAATCCAATCTTATGAACTGAAAACGACATTCACCGTAGCAGAGGCACCACCGCACCCAAACAAAAAGGTTCATTCATTCTAAGTTCGAACCTTCTTCTTCACCACATTCTCCCCTTTTGACCCGAATTCGACAGTCCTAATAGAAAATACACATCGTGGTTGCGATGCTGGGAAAGACGAGGAAGGTTTCGGCGCGCGGAGAGGGGGTGGCAGCGAACTACGCCTTTGGTCCCGCGGAGGATGACGTAATCATCAAACACAGGCTTCTGACGCGCACGACCACCACGAGGGGCGAGCCTCCGTTGAAGAAGCTTCAGAAGAAGTTCACCTCGTTCGTGTCGGAAGTGGACAAGGAGGAGGACAACTACGGCGATTGCGAAAAGCTGGCGAGGGCCTTTCTGCAGGAACTGACGACGTTCGAGATTCCGCTGCTGAAGAGCAAGGCGATTGTGGAGGCCAACGTTAGGGAGAAGGAGAATTTCAACGAGTTGAAGGAGGAGATGAATCGCCAGATCCTGCAGGCGCAGGCTGACATTGAGGATCTGAAGAAACAGCTTGAGGAGAGCAAGGTTGAGAGAAGACACAAGGAGGAGTGCGAGTCCATTAGGAAATTGATTGCCCTGCAACCGCCCAGGTCCCAGACGCAGAACCTTATTTCGGACCTCCAGAAGGAGATTGCCGCTTTGGACGCCGAGAACACCGCTGGTTCCAGATTGTTGGACCTCAGGAAGAAGCAATTTTCACTCTTGTTACATGTGGTATGTACAATTCTCTTCTATGATTATGATGTGGAGGGGCCATTTTGTGCTGTTTTTCAAAATTCAGCACACTAAAGATTTCTGTGTTATTTTGATTATTATTCAAATGACAATATTCAGATGAAACCACTAATGTATATGAGAAACTACACTCATTGAAAATATAACTGCCTCCTGCAATTCGATAGTAATTGCATACATACAAGCAACAATTGGTATCTTAGAAGTTACGTGCTATTCTTTTGGGGTTGTTAGGTTGTTCTTTTAGTTTGGGTCTGAATTTTTTTTGGTAGAACTCATCTTGCAAGTGAATATCCTGAGTCAAAGCAGAGAGGATGAAGAGAAATTGAAGGAACTAAAAGAATGCTAAAACAGATATAGTGAACCTCATGGAAACAGAATAATAAACAAAGCATGTGGGGTGAGAAGTTGATATGTCCTTCATTTCGCCTCTAAGGTTATGTTTGGATAAAAGTTGGGATTGTGCTTCTGGGAATTTCAATAAACATTCCCGAATTCTGAAGCACAAAATGAAGATGAAAAAAATTGTTGCTTTGGGAGTAAAAGTAATTTTAAGCTTCTCCATTTAAAATCCAAACATGTACTAAGACATTTATGCAAAAGGAGGTCTGAAATGGGAAAGGCTGGCCACTAGTGACTGGATTTGGAATGGGTGATTGGGGAAAGACAAATGATTTTTTACGCAAATGGTCAGCTGGCAACGTGAAAGTGAGGAAGGAACAATGGAGGAATCATTTAGCTGTGCAACAATGAGGAATCAAATGGGAAGGATCAATTGATATACTTGATTAGGATGAAAACTGTCTAACCATGTAAATGTGTTAGTAGGTCTCGACTGGAACAAGTGTTGTAATTCTTAAAATTATCACGTAAAATGGCTATGCAACTTATGAGGTTGTTTCCAAATAATATTATATGCTGATAATGAAATCATTCTGCAGTATTTTCTCTTTGGAGTTTTTTACTCGGGACTTCAGTGTGAATGTGTCATAATTCCCTAATTTCCCTCGGTATCAAATCATGACCATGTATTTTTCTCCAAAAATGACCCATACGTGCCATTCTGAAAAGGATTTCCAATCTCATTCTCAATCTTGATACGATTCAGTTATTCCTGTTGCTTTTTCTTGGTTTTTTACTTATTGACCTGTGGAATGGAGACTTTTTCTTTGTGATGCTAATCTTTGTTGGCAGTGCAAACTAAAAATCTTGAATTTAACGAGTCTAGTGTTTCAGGGAGGCTCTATGGTTCAAGGATTTCTAAACAAGTTGTATATTTTATCAATTATTTCGCATGACACATGAACTTTGTTCTTCAGTGTGCTGTGTCTGAGTGTTTCATAGCCTATATCTTATGAAACTGTCACCGTCATGATTTCCAAAATTCAGACACGTGGTATCTCTTGTTTAATATCTCTGTTAATGTTAACTGTTAATTGAGATAAGGCTATTGTTGGTGAATTGTCATCGATGTCGCCAATGTTAACTGTTGATGATAATTTGTTCTGCTTCCTGCAGGTGGATGAGTTGCAGAACACAATAGAGGAAGAACAGAAGAGCCTAGTTGAGGAGATGAGAATGGCAAACGAGGAGCTTAAGAATGGGATGGAGGACGCAAGTGGGGCGGAAGCAATGGCAATTGACCAGTAATAGACTGAATATCTGTCTTCCTGTTGTAACATCTTTTACATTTCAATCATGGTCTCTTTTCCTACAGTGATTAGGAACCTTGTGTAAATGAAAGATCATTATTATTATGCAAGAGCTTAGACCTTAGTAAATTCTAAATGCATTTCGTTTGGAATTTTTTTATGATAATTTGTGTAACCCTTCCTTCAATATAGTTGGGGTTTTCTCCACTCCATATGTTCTTTTTAATTGTTTTTCTTTCTTTTGTTTGACTGTTTTCAGAAAAGAAAGTAATGCTTACGAGTATGGAATTTGTATGGATGTATCACAATCAAAACCATACGGACTGGGTATGACAATTTTTAAAAACAAGAATATAATTATAGTAGGTATTGCTAATGAAATATCGAAAGTTTGCATTTGTATGTTTATGCTTATAATTATATATGTATATACTTATATTTCATTTTACTTAAAATGCCATCCAAACCAGGACAAAGTCAAACAAACCAGCAGGTCCAAGTCATTCAACATAAACTTCTGTGACAAAACGATTGTACCTCAATTTTATGGTTGGAACTTGGAAGTTTTATTCCATCAAAATTAATTTTACTGTATTTTTTTTAAAATATTGTTTTGTGAAAGAGAATATTAAAAAGTAAATATGATATAAAAAAAATTTCAATCGATAGATTTGTAACATTCTAGCAAGGTTGTCAAACTTGAGAGTCTACCAAACTCGTGGAACTTTCATAAACTCGTAAGAGTTTATCTAATATTAAAAAAAATTAAATAATGAACACACAATGTGATATCATCAATTCAACATTTTAAACTTGAAATAAGTCAAATAATAACAATAAAATGTCATAATACAAGTTTTAACCATATATGAACGATCCAAAGTTCAAAACACACAAGTTCGCAAGTCAAAAACATAAAATAAGATCTAAATATATTAATCAAAGTCCAATCTTCCATCAAATTCACATGCATCATCTTCATTTTCTTCAAGCTCATCCTCTTTGTCTTATTATAAGGGTTCTTTAATATTCACATCATCAAAGACCAAATCTTCAAGGTCATTTAAAGTTGGATTAGTTGAATCTCCAACTCGTTGATTTGCTCATAGACTCGTGATTCTGTTTGAGTCCAACTGAGTTTGCTCGAGTCTACTAGAAAATAATTTCATAAACGAGTTAGCCAGTTTTTCTTCCCTAAAATCATAAAGTCGTACGATTTTATGAGTTAACTCATGAGTGTAACAATCATACATCCTATACTCCTAAGTTTAATTTCTTTTATGCAATTGTGCTTTACCTAAATAAAGAGTATCCTATATTAAAGAAACATTTAAGAGATCCAATACCAAGGAAGGAGGGGAGGAGGAAAAATAATTGTTGGGTAACCAAGACCAATGTACATGAGGTGTAAAAAAAAAACAATGTACAAAAGAAAATTTCACACCCAAAAGTTCTTTGGAACTAATTATATTTCACAAGTAAATAAAATTTATCAATATAAAATTTTAGATGTTTATTAAAATATTTAATAATGACTAATTTTACATTATAATTGATTAATAATGAAATAAAGTTATAAATATAATTATTTATTTATTTTACAAATGGAAAACAAATGCGTAAATTTACGAATTATTAATAGCAATGCGAGAATGTTGAAATATCAAAAAATTATTAATTTTGGCTCTTAAGTAATTAGTAATATTACAATATTATTCAAATATTTAATAATTATAATTAATTGTTTGATAAATAAATTAATTATATTTATATAAGTGATTATGTACGTGCCTGTATGCACGATTTACATATACAACGATCATTAGATTCATTATTCAATGTGTTTGGAATCAAAATTGTTATCTTTTTGTTCCATTGCATTTTCGCACCACTCTGACCCATGATGCGGTTTGGTTAAGTTGGCTCTGGTGATGTTGATGAGAAGATGAACAATGGAATATTCAGATATTTCTTCTTGTCACGTGGCTTCTGTAGTTCTCTAATCTCACCCCATAAACCATTTTCACTAAACCATGACTCTGTTCCTCCCTCTACTTTGTTATCCAATGCTCTGCAACATTACATTAATTCCGAGACTCCTTCTCATGGCCAAAAGATCCATTCCCGCATTCTCAAAACTGGGTTTTTTCCAAACACCAATATTTCCATCAAACTACTTATATTATACCTCAAATGTAATTGTTTGAGATATGCACGCCAGGTGTTTGATGATTTGCGGGACAGAACTTTGTCTTCTTATAATTATATGATCAGTGGCTATCTTAAACAAGGCCAAGTTGAAGAGTCTCTTGGTTTGGTGCATAGGCTTTTAGCGTCTGGTGAGAAGCTTGATGGGTTTACTTTTTCCATGATTTTAAAGGCGTCTACTTCTGGGTGTAATGTTGCGTTGCTTGGTGATCTAGGTAGAATGGTACATGCCCAGATTCTTAAATCTGATGTAGAGAGAGATGAAGTTCTTTGTACAGCTCTCATAGACTCTTATGTCAAGAATGGGAGGGTTGCTTACGCGAGGACTGTGTTTGATGTGATGTCGGAGAAGAATGTGGTGTGTTCAACATCCCTCATCTCTGGTTACATGAATCAAGGCTCTTTCAATGATGCTGAGTGTATATTTCACAAAACGTTGGGCAAGGACGTGGTGGCATTTAATGCAATGATTGAAGGATACAGCACGACATCTGAATATGCTATGAGATCTCTTGAAGTTTACATTGACATGCAACGGTTGAACTTTAGGCCAAATGTTTCTACATTTGCTAGCGTAATTGGTGCTTGTTCCATGCTTGCGACATTTGAAATTGGGCAGCAAGTACAGTGTCAGCTTATGAAGACTCCATTTTATGCTGACATAAAATTGGGAAGTGCCCTTATTGACATGTATGCTAAATGTGGAAGAGTTGTGGATGCTCGAAGAGTTTTCGACCACATGCTTCAGAAGAATGTTTTTTCTTGGACATCTATGATTGATGGATATGGGAAGAATGGGTTTCCTGATGAAGCACTTGAGCTATTTGGAAAGATGCAAAAAGAATATTGCATTGTACCCAATTATGTGACATTCCTTAGTGCTCTCTCGGCTTGTGCACATTCTGGACTTGTGGATAAGGGTTTGAAGATCTTTCATAGCATGGAGAGTGAATACTTGGTAAAGCCAGGGATGGAGCATTATGCTTGCATGGTTGATCTGTTAGGACGAGCAGGGAGGCTGAATCAGGCTTGGGAGTTTGTCATGAGGATGCCAGAGAGACCGAATTCGGATGTGTGGGCTGCTTTACTTAGTTCTTGCAGACTCCATGGTAATATAGATATGGCAAAATTAGCTGCAAATGAGCTTTTTAAGCTGAATGCTACTGGAAGACCAGGGGCTTATGTTGCACTGTCTAATACTTTGGCAGCTGCTGGGAAATGGGAAAGTGTAACTGAACTTAGAGAAATAATGAAGGAGAGAGGAATATCCAAGGACACTGGTTGCAGTTGGGTTGGAACTGATGGTGTCTTTTAGTTCTTAGGAAGGTGCAAAAATTCACTATGGCAATTTTTTTTGTTGACGAGATGACCCCTCTTGATTGCTTCTCTTACTGTCATGTCTTCTTGTGCTTCCAACAATACTGTAAAGTATTTAAACTTCAAAGAAATATGAAACAATATGTTTGATGAAGTGGAAAGGCAACAGTGGCTTTAGGAGGAGGTTGCAGAAAGCATGGTTCAAGGAGGTTAATCCCAACTGACCAAAAAGAAATAAAAACATAATGCAGTTGCTGGCTATTTTGAGCCTGGTTGAAATCAAGTTCGGATACTTGGAAGATAGGATGACAAAATAGATCTAGATCCTACGTGTATCCGTAAGAATACCCTCATATGAGACAGGTAAATGTCCATTTATATGAGGATGGGTACACGTATAGACTCATAAAATTTAGTGTGCCGGTATAGGTATTATGATACTCAATTCATCCCGTCTCGTAGTTATATATATATATAAATTATTATAATAATATATATTAATTAATATAATAATATTGTTATTATTTTAGATCTAAAATGCAAGTTGAAGTTGTTGAAATATTTTTTTTTCTTAAGCTTTATGATAGCTCATCTTTAAGTAAAATTAATAATATTAAGAAATTATGTTATTCATTATTTTAAGAGTATCAAACTAAAGATAAAGGAATAGTGAAAAGTTCAATTTCAAGAACAAATGTCAATTAGTTAAATTTGGATAATCTAAATATTAACAATTTTTTTAGTGATTATGACTCATTTGTGAATGATACAATTGAAACACAAAGTTTGAAATAGAGTTTTACTTGAAAGAAAAAATTGTCTAGAAGTACTATTTTTGACATTCTTGAATGATGGAAAACAAATGGGATCAAACATTCAATTTTGCAAAAAGCATTGCTTAAAGTATTTTGGTAATTTCAATTTTAATTGTAGCTTCAGAATTCATGAATTTACTTTAAAGACATTTATGTGTGCATAAAGTTGGTTAAAATATAAATAAAAAGGTAATAAATAATGAAACTGTTCTTACCGGAAATTTGCTGTAAAGCTGATCTGCCTGGTAAGATTGGTGAGCCTCCTTCGCTGGTACGTTGATGCTCCAAGATGGGGGAGGTACCTGCAAAAGAGACTCCGATGCTAAAGTTAGTGTTTGTGGGAGTATGAGTCTCGTATAAATAATGCATGTACCTTTATGTGAATTAGGGTTGTGTTGGGCCTTGGGCCCGAGATCTGTTATGATCTGATTAGATTGCGGATCTCATCTGGAGCGAGATCTCCGAGATCAGTTATGATCTGATTAGATTGCGGATCTCATCTGGAGCGAGATCTTCGAGATCAGTTATGATCTGATTAGATTGCGGATCTCGCTTAGGCTGAGATCTCCCAGTGCGTGTCCGAGGTTATTCCACGCTGTGATAACGAGCTCGAGCTCGGCATGGCAGTACGGATAGTACATTAGCCCCCCGAGCTTCGAAGACCGTAGGTCGAGGAGTTCCGTCCGAGCTCGTCAAGTGGCTGTGGCCCTTGGCGTACTTCTGCCTGTCGAGATGCCATTTGCCATAGCCGTCACCTCACTCATCTATCATGCCAAATTACCCACCCAAACAACACCAATCAACCTAAGCACCTAAAACAACTTTCAACTTAACCAAATGACTAATTGTGAAATGACAACCTTCACATAAAACAGCGTATCAGGAGTTATACTACTACTACCATGCTCATCCTTATCTCATATGAAAGATAAGAAGATTTCCTACAACTCTCATGAAGACACCAAGTCCTAATTCCTTCATCTACCTTGTTAAAAATTCTAAAAACCGCAACAGCTATAACCAATGCTGCCAACTTGACTCCTCTTCACTAAACCAGCCATATTTGGAGTTCTAGACCTCCTTTTTGGGTGATTCTAGCGTCATTGGAAAGCTAACATCCAAGACTACAACTTTCATGAAGACTCAAAGACCAACATACTCACGCCCGACGTATTCGGCTCAACAACATTAATCAGCATAAGCATCATACGACACAACTCAACGTTACATCATTAACAGCATAAACAACATACAGTACAGCTCAACTTTTCATCATACGGCATTAACAACATTAATCAGCATAAACAACATTCGGCACGACTCAGCTTAACAGCAATAACAGCTCAAACAACATATTCAACACATAATATGACTCACCCATTACAACTCATCTATCATGCCAAATTACCCACCCAAACAACACCAATCAACCTAAGCACCTAAAACAACTTTCAACTTAACCAAATGACTAATTGTGAAATGACAACCTTCACATAAAACAGCGTATCAGGAGTTATACTACTACTACCATGCTCATCCTTATCTCATATGAAAGATAAGAAGATTTCCTACAACTCTCATGAAGACACCAAGTCCTAATTCCTTCATCTACCTTGTTAAAAATTCTAAAAACCGCAACAGCTATAACCAATGCTGCCAACTTGACTCCTCTTCACTAAAACAGCCATATTTGGAGTTCTAGACCTCCTTTTTGGGTGATTCTAGCGTCATTGGAAAGCTAACATCCAAGACTACAACTTTCATGAAGACTCAAAGACCAACATACTCACGCCCGACGTATTAAAATCACGCCCAGCGCAAACTCAACCCGAGACCTACAAAGGTCTCCGCGCCCGACACAATATCAGTAACAAAAACATAAGATTCACGTCTGATAATGCGCCCGGCGTGGTTCTCCCCACGCCCGGTGTGATTCACCCAGGGATTCCCCATTTCAAATCACGCCCGGCGCGAAGAACTACGCACAGCCTTTTCATCATACGGCATTAACAACATTAATCAGCATAAACAACATTCGGCACGACTCAGCTTAACAGCAATAACAGCTCAAACAACATATTCAACACATAATATGACTCACCCATTACAACTCATCTATCATGCCAAATTACCCACCCAAACAACACCAATCAACCTAAGCACCTAAAACAACTTTCAACTTAACCAAATGACTAATTGTGAAATGACAACCTTCACATAAAACAGCGTATCAGGAGTTATACTACTACTACCATGCTCATCCTTATCTCATATGAAAGATAAGAAGATTTCCTACAACTCTCATGAAGACACCAAGTCCTAATTCCTTCATCTACCTTGTTAAAAATTCTAAAAACCGCAACAGCTATAACCAATGCTGCCAACTTGACTCCTCTTCACTAAAACAGCCATATTTGGAGTTCTAGACCTCCTTTTTGGGTGATTCTAGCGTCATTGGAAAGCTAACATCCAAGACTACAACTTTCATGAAGACTCAAAGACCAACATACTCACGCCCGACGTATTAAAATCACGCCCAGCGCAAACTCAACCCGAGACCTACAAAGGTCTCCGCGCCCGACACAATATCAGTAACAAAAACATAAGATTCACGTCTGATAATGCGCCCGGCGTGGTTCTCCCCACGCCCGGTGTGATTCACCCAGGGATTCCCCATTTCAAATCACGCCCGGCGCGAAGAACTACGCACAGCACAATTTTTAAGAAAATGTAATCTCAAGGTTCGGACTCGACCTTGACAAGTCGTCATGATTAATGTGCCAATACCAAAAATGTATGGGAATAGAGTTGCTTTGTTGATTATTTTTGAGGTGTGCCTCATTAAAACCTTCCTTGGCCAAAAACCTTTTCTTTAGTGGGAAAAAAGGCTGAGGAGGAAAAAGAGTACATCACCTGAATTTACAAGTTAAGAGAAATAAAATTTGAGGTGGGTGACATTCCAAGTTTCGAATTTCCCTTCGGAGGGGTCTATTCTTGCCTCTCCCACCCCACCAAACAAGGTCGCCAAATTTAAATGTTTGTGGCCTGACCTTGGTCCTGCTTTCCTTGTGGTTTGTTGCGAACCTGGTCACGAAAAGCAGAGTGCTCTTCCATCTGTATGTACCCGGCAGCTCGGGCACGAAATTCGTCCATATCAGCGGGAGCTCGGCGACACAGGCTGTCCACAAAAGGTCCCGGCTTGAGCGCCATGAGCATGACTTGTTGCATACTGCGCCTGAATCGTCTAACCAGAGTGCCGAAACTGTCAATTGACTCGGCAGGTAGTTGGGTGTACCAGTTGAGTGCGGCCCCTTTGAGCGAGGTCGGGAAAACCCTACACAAGATAGCATCATTGTTAGTGTAGATGTTTACCTGGGTCGTATACAGGTCAATATGCTCATCGGGGTCCTTCGTGCCATCATAGCGATCAAGGTGGAGTGGCTTCCATCTGCGGGGGAGTAGAGTCTCCATGATGCCATCCACAAAAGGATGACGGCGGAAAGTTTCTTGACCCTCTGTGACATGAGTGGGGGCCCTGCTGACATCCTGAGTCGACTTGTGCGTCGGTGCATGAGACCGATGCGTGGCAGGTCGCGGAGTCGGTGCTCTGGTCGCAGTTCGGGGTTGAGAAACCAAATGCCCTTCGTCCTCATTCAGGTTACTTTGCAGAGGGGGTTGATCTGAGGGACGCCGAGGGAGTTGGGCGCGAATGCGCTCGTTCTCGGCGCGTAGTGCCGCTAGGTCGGCTTCATTAGCGGCGCGCATTGCCGCTAGATCAGTTTCGTGCTTGGCACGCATGCTTTGTAGGTCGGCGGCGTGTTGTTGCCGCATCTCAGCCTTCTCAACGTTGCTGCGTCACTATCCATGGTAGTTGAGTGATCCAGGTCGTCTGTTGCGCGTCTACTGTGGCTTCTGGTGAAAACCATACAGGTGGCCGATAAGAGCTGTCTTGATTGGCCCCACGGTGGGCGCCAAATGTTCTTACCGGAAATCTGCTGTAGAGCTGATCTGCCTGGTAAGATTGGTGAGCCTCCTTCGCTGGTACGTTGATGCTCCAAGATGGGGGAGGTACCTGCAAAAGAGACTCCGATGCTAAAGTTAGTGTTTATGGGAGTATGAGTCTCGTATAAATAATGCACGTACCTTTGTGTGAATTAGGGTTGTGTTGGGCCTTGGGCCCGAGATCTGTTATGATCTGATTAGATTGCGGATCTCATCTTGAGCGAGATCTCCGAGATCAGTTATGATCTGATTAGATTGCGGATCTCATATGGAGCGAGAACTCTGAGATCAGTTATGATCTGATTAAATTGCGGATCTCATCTAGAGCGAGATCTCCGAGATCAGTTATGATCTGATTAGATTGCGGATCTCGCTTAGGCTGAGATCTCCCAGTGCGTGTCCGAGGTTATTCCATGCTGTGATAATGAGCTCGAGCTCGGCATGGCAGTACGGATAGTACAGAAACTTTGTTTATTTAATAAAAATTGTTTTTATTTTTTATTGTTGTATTGTCTAATCATTTATTTTTTTGTCATATAATTTTTATTGGTATTATTAGATCAAAACAATATAAAGACTTGAAAAACAAACATTTGCAAAAATATGGAGAAGCTAATTCCAATGATAAAATCAAATGTCTACATATTTATTTTTTAAAATTTATACTATATAACTTAATCTATAATTTTAATTTAATTAATTTCTGTATAATTTTTTTTACAGGTCTTGGAGATTGTTAACACATTATCATGATGTTGAAAGTTTAATTACAACTTTTATTATATTGAATTTTTTTAAAATATTATTTAAAAGAATTGAATGTTTTGTAATCTTTAAATATAAGGATTGTTAGGTTAGATTTTTGTAATATTAAAGATATGACAAATTAATATTATATTTGTTTGTATAAAATGTTATTTCTTTATTGATTTATTTACTTTATATATAAATAAAATGTGAATTGTGTGCGGGTGTTAGTATATAGATATCTAGCAAATATGAGAATAAAGATTAAAATTGTTATTCATTTGAGTATGATCCTAGGTACAAACATTATTTTTAAGAGCAGTGCTTCATTCTCAAAAAAAAAATGTCCGAATCACGTTTTGAAAGGTTAAAATATTATTATTTTATAATAAACTTATTATTAAATAATTATTTAATTTAATATTTTATAATTTAAATTAATATTTTATTTTTTCGGAATGATTTTCGAAAGATCTATCAAGATATATCATTTTTCTATTTTTAAACGCATGTATGAAAACGAATATTATAAGATCCTACTTAGTCTCTACCCATTTTCATACCTATATATTTCTCACCTACTGATGAGTCTGAATGATTAGATTATAGGGAGATTGTCTCAATTTACCTCGATTCACTTTATAAAGTGAGGAGTAATACTAACAATTGAGATGCAAACAGCTATATAATTTATTATAGTTGTAAGTTTTCATTTTACTCTTTATAATGATTTTAGAGGAACCTAAACTGTTCATCACAAGGTTTGTTTAGATAATATTTTTATAATCACTTATTAGATAAGAAAATAAGAATTTCTTTTTTTAAAGAATATTTTCATATCTGAATACTTTGTCTATGATGATATATCGCGAATGATAAGAAGAAAACTACATGCGCAAGTTATTTCTATCTGAATCCAGCAACAATAGAAATAAATAAATAAAATTAATTTGAAGTCACTTAAGAGAGTTTAATAAACTTTTATTATCAACTTAAAAGTTTAGTTCAATTGAGAGAACGAATCAATTGAAATGAAGTTGTTCCAAATGAATGGATGATATTGGTCTCAAATCTTTGATATTTAAATACCCTAAAAAAAGAATTCTACTCTTAATGATAGTCCTCTTCAACAGTGAAAAAGTTGGGATAGCAAATATTATTTATTCCCTGCAAGAAAGTCCACATGTGATCCCAAGATGATAATTTACGAGTGAGGTTTGGGAGACATGAACTAACAGAAATAGGGTTTGTATATTGTTATCGTAATTAACATTCTACCTACCATTTTGGATGGAAATAGACTAGTTGCCAAATTCACAAATTTACATAATCATACAAAAGTCCAAATTATTAAATTTCCAATGCATAGCAAATCTAGATTCATCTTTGTCATTTAAAATTGATAGGCTGATGGAAATATAAATAAGGAAGTTTTTATCTAAAAACTGCCTCCACTTTAAAATGACTGAAATTGGCATAGTATATCTTGAAATCTTTTAAAAAAAATTTATAATAGTGTATTATCATAAGAATTTTATTTATAATGTTTAGACCTGCTTTATATATTATTGATGGCATGACTAGTAATTATTTTTAAGAACTAGCTAAATACAATTCTAGATATCGTGTCACATACATATCTTAATTTTAATCCCTGAAAAATTTCGAGTGGGCTCCTCTCAGTTGATAGCTCCCCCAGTTGGACACATCAAATTCAATTATTCAATCTTAGCATAGGCAACGCGGACATGGTGTCACACAATTGTATTTGCAACTGCCAAGTGTAATTAATTTCCCAAAAAATATAAAATAAAATAAAACTTTATCCACAAGAAGAAGAAAGTGACGTGAGCAAAGAATAGGGTTGGTTAATGATGTAGGAGGATGTGATTAACGTGGAGGTTTGGTATTAGTAATCAACCCCATTCTTTCTAGCAATGGTGGCTAACCCAGCACCTAACTACGTGTTTCTCTATGCTTATTTTATTTTGTTTTTTTAACTTTATTTATTGTGTTCTCCGTCAATGCTCTAGTTTATGTTGTATTTGGCTTCTCATAACTTAAAAGCTTCAAGATAGAAAGCAATAGAAGAACCCAGAGAAAATCAAATTAACAAAGGCATTATTAGTTAAACCTAAACCATGTGCTGCTGCTCTGAAGATTGTAAATGCAGGCCTCTTGGGTTTTTGTTGGGCCTGCCTTTTGCCTTCTTGTCTCTTCTCATCTCCCTTGTGGGTGTGGTTGTTTGGATCGTTGGGTAAGTCCCTCTTTTTTTTCTTCTAATTCAATTACCCTCTAATTTTGGTTATTTGATTCGAATTATTTATGTGTGTGCAGGTTGATTTTGACATGCATATGTCCATGTTGCCTTTGCGTGACCATCATAGTTGAGTTTGCTCTAGCACTCATCAAGGCTCCAATTGTGGTTATGGAATGGTTCATCTCCAAGATTCCATGTTAAAGATATGTTTGCAATTTCAAAGAGATGGTGCTTATCAGAAATTGTAATGGATTCTTTGTTAGGTTGTGTTCTTAGTTGATTCATGCATTTGTTTAATTATGTTCAAACGAATGTGGGGAGCAAGGAAGTGCTTTGCTGGTCTTGTGCTGAATTCTGATTTGAGCGATTTTCAAGATATATATTTTTTTCCTTTTATCTTTATTTTTTTCGTTAGCTAAATATTTTATATGCATCGAGACATTTGGTTCCCTTGATAATGTAACGACCCGCCTAGCCGTTTCACAACCGACAATACCACGCAGAATAAAATATGCATATATATATCAAAATAAAATATATACACCTAGGTCTAGCCTGGGGCTCAACAAGTCAATATACAAAAAACATTAGCCTAACTACACTAGGTAGCCAAAAACAACAAAAACATCCGCTCCATCTGCCAGCTGCAGACCTGCTACTATACTCCAGCCTATCCCTACTCTGCTCCCATACATAATATGATCATTGCAGTCCAATCCACATGAAAACAGACAAGGGTAAGCTAGTGAACAGAATCAACATATATATATATATATATAAGAATTACAAACAGCTTCAACTTATCAGCACATCATCAAATTCAACAATGTTGACACACAACACATAACAGCATACATCTATATCTCAGCTTCACAACACACTACACATTTACAACTCACATCATTTGGAAAAATCAACATCAAACAACTCATGCGTCGTCACGCATTTCATCTAGATTTGTTCGCTTGTAAGCGGTGTAGCTCGACCTGACCCCTATACCGTAGTCGCTTTGTACACGTGTGCCTCGACCTTGCCCACACATGGAACCAACTAAGTACTTAGAGGAGAACAACACAGTGATCACTCCAAGGGACAACTTCCCAGGGAGGGTTTTCAGCAAATTGGGCTCTAAGAGCACCACAGCTTCCTCAATCCACACAAAGGGATGAGCAATTTTGAAAAACATCTCCTTTAGTCTTAGTGATCAACAGCTCAGCCTTATGGCCTACACAGCTCAGCCTTACGGCCTACAACAACTCAGCCTTACAACCTACACAGCTCAGCCTTACGGCCTACAACAGCTCAACCTTACGGCCTACAATAGTTTATATTCACAACACAACTCAAAATCAACATTCAGCACAACACAACATAATAACATTAACAACTTAGACAACATAAAACTCAACTCGGCTCAACAACATTAATCAGCATAAGCATCATACGACACAACTCAACGTTACATCATTAACAGCATAAACAACATACAGTACAGCTCAACTTTTCATCATACGGCATTAACAACATTAATCAGCATAAACAACATTCGGCACGACTCAGCTTAACAGCAATAACAGCTCAAACAACATATTCAACACATAATATGACTCACCCATTACAACTCATCTATCATGCCAAATTACCCACCCAAACAACACCAATCAACCTAAGCACCTAAAACAACTTTCAACTTAACCAAATGACTAATTGTGAAAAGACACCCTTCACATAAAACAGCGTATCAGGAGTTATACTACTACTACCATGCTCATCCTTATCTCATATGAAAGATAAGAAGATTTCCTACAACTCTCATGAAGACACCAAGTCCTAATTCCTTCATCTACCTTGTTAAAAATTCTAAAAACCGCAACAGCTATAACCAATGCTGCCAACTTGACTCCTCTTCACTAAAACAGCCATATTTGGAGTTCTAGACCTCCTTTTTGGGTGATTCTAGCGTCATTGGAAAGCTAACATCCAAGACTACAACTTTCATGAAGACTCAAAGACCAACATACTCACGCCCGACGTATTAAAATCACGCCCAGCGCAAACTCAACCCGAGACCTACAAAGGTCTCCGCGCCCGACACAATATCAGTAACAAAAACATAAGATTCACGTCTGATAATGCGCCCGGCGTGGTTCTCCCCACGCCCGGTGTGATTCACCCAGGGATTCCCCATTTCAAATCACGCCCGGCGCGAAGAACTACGCACAGCACAATTTCAAACAATAACCCTCACCACTTCGTAAATTTCACCCAAAACCTGCAAAATCAGCCAACTCAAATACATGCAATCCATCAAATGAACTACATTTACAGCATACAACTCAAAAATCATCTCTTTTTCAACAGGCAACCATCAAACGTGTAAAATTCCTCATTTTTCCCCATTTTCCGAAACCCCGAAAATGCTCAATTCCTCAAATCCGATCGTCAATCTTCTAAAATTTAGTCACATTTGAGTTCCCACACACATTGTCAACCAATCTGCACAAAACTAACTTCCCTTACCTCGGAGGAGAAGAATTTCTAAGCTTCCAGGAAGTTGAGGAGAAGAAGAAAAGGAGAAGGCTCCGGCTCTCAACTAGCTTCACAAGGAAAGGACCACCTTGGTGTTTCTGACTTAGCCTAAGGAGAAGAAATCAGCAACAAGAATTTAGAGTTTGAGAGAAAAGAAAATTGAGGGGAGAAGAGATATGTGAAAAGAGAATGAGAGGGAGAAGCTGCAGAAGTGGGGTTTCACATATAACACTCTAGCGAGTTTAAAATTACAACACCAAATCATACTAAATCTACCGCAAACAAAGCAAAATTAACTTGAAATACTTATTCTATTGATGAAAAAAAATTACATTTCTAGCTCTTGGAACATTTAATTAAATATACATAATATTTTTACTTTTCTAAAAATTTTAAATTGAGAATCTTAATTTTACATATTTTGATAATTATTTAAAAAAAATCAGAAACATAGTTCTTAGAGAATTATTTTTATCTCATTTTCCTACAAAAATATTTTTATAACTTGAGGGATAAAAATCTAACTTTTTTGAGTTAAGAAAAAGTTTAATATATATAAAAATATTACAATATCTTATTTTAAAATAATTAAAGTTTGAAATTTAAAATATGTTTGCTATTCATTTTAATTGAAATACTGTACGATGTAATTTATTTAAATTAATAATCAATATATTTTTATTATTATTCTAAATATATATTTTCTTGAAATAAATAATTTTAAAAGAATGTTGAACGAAAGAAAACAATTATAAATGATTTTTTTCCTCTCTTCAAATAATATATTGAGATTTTAATATGTACGAGTGTAAGAAAAGAAAAAACTTTATCAATAGGTAGTTTAAAATGAAAAAATAAAATAAAATATTTGAGAAACATCTAATCTTGAGATCCCAAAACTACTTTTAAGGTACTTTTGAAGAACAAAATTTGTTAGATTAAAATTTGCCAATCTGAATTATGGCAAGAGAAATAGTTAATGAATATAGTAGTGAGATTTGAATAGTAATATGTGATTACGGCGAGAGAAATACTTGCCTGATTGTGTTTCGAGTTTGTTGCTTTCTGTATAACTTTTTTTATTGATAAGAAAATGAATTAATAATGGAGAGAGGAGACTGTGTATTAAAGAAATGCTAAAGTTACATTTGACATGAAAGAAAGATGACTATAAATACAGCATGACTTTTATTAAACACCAGTATTGTGTATGGGTTGAATGAGGTGAGTTAGTGCAATGGTAATTATAATTGCATTTGTGATAGCTTCTTCATCACTCTTTTCATCGGCAACGGCATGCTCCTTCTCTTCGATTCAGCTTCGGCGATTCCCTGGCCGACACCGGCAACTTGTTTCTGAGCTCGGAGCCACCCTCTAACCATTGCTTCTTCCTCCGTACGGCGAAACCTTCTTCCACCATCCCTCTGGACGCTGCTCCGATGGCCGCCTCATCATCGATTTCATCGGTATAAATAAATAAATAAACATATGGATCTCTCTCACTGTTTGTTTCTCTAACCGTTTTTGTTTTGTTGAATAGCTGAGTGGCTGGAAATTCCAATGGTGAAACCGTATTTGGGAATGAAAGGATGGAAGGCGGAAGGAGGAGCCAATTTTGCTGTTGTTGGAGCGACGGCGTTAGAGCCCTCCTTCTTTGAAGAAAGGGGCATTCATATCCCAACCAATTATTCTTTGACAGTTCAATTGAATTGGTTAAGGATTTGCTTCATCATCTCTGCAATTCTTCTCCAAGTAACTTCTCAACTATTTTTCTCATCTCTATACACCATCACAATATTCCTACCTTTTCTATATATATATAATTTTTGTTTTATTCCTGTTAATATATTTTTTTATTATCATTTATTTTAAAAATATATAAAAAATTATAATGTCAAACATTGATATATAATATAATTAACATGGATGAATAATATTTATGATGATCACTTAAATAATTATATAAAAAATAAAAATTTAAAAATAATTTCAATTTTAAAACGATAAAAATAAAAAAAAGATTCACATCGAACTAAAATTAAATTTTTTTAATTTTAAAGAATTAAAAATATCACCTCAAAAAAAAAAAAGAAATAAAAATATATTTAAATTTATATATCTTACTAATTATATATTATTATTAT